CTCACCACTCACCAAAGACCCCTCCCCCACCCTGAACCAAGGGCCTGAGATTCTGAGGGCCACTAATACCGAAGAACTGGAGTGTGGTGTCTCATAGATGTCATAGTTTAATAAGTCAATAATAGTTCAAATTCTTGTGTATGGCAAGGAAAGAACTGCCAAGAATACACCCAGTAGTAAGTAGTAAGTAGCTACATTTATTTTTTTTTTAATATTTATTTATTTATTTGTGTGTGTGTGTGTGTATGTGGCCAGCTCAGCCCACCAGGGGGCGGGGCTGGCTGGCATGTGGTGCTGGGGGATTGAACCGTGGTCCATGTGCGTTGCTTGTTCTAAGTAGGTGCTTTAGACCACTGAGCCATCTCTCCAGCCCAGTAGCTACATTTATTGAAGACCACAGGAAGTTGTGCTCAGGGCCCATCCATGCCAACGAAGATATAAGCCAGAACAAGGAAGGTACTGACTGGGGCAACAGAAAAGCATCGCACACAGATGAATGCTGTTGGCTAAAGCTGAAAGTTTGTTATATGTGGGAGCCAAGACAGGGCCACAGTGCTTAAAGCCGTCAAGCTACCTCCATCTTAAGAAAAACATTCTGCCTAGACAATTTCAATCATTAGACATGAGGCAACCTTTGGTCTCCTAATACTAACTTCGCAAAGGTATAAATAAAGGCCACTACTGTTGTTGCACAGTCTTCTTTCTCATCAGGTAAAGAGGCCTCCACCTGACCTGTTTTTGTCTATTTTCTAAATCTTTGTTTTCTGCCAGCATCACCCAGAGACCAACAAGTCCTAACAGAAAGCTTGCACCAGCAATCTAGAAACAAAGGGGTGGGGGGAAGAAGGGACTGATAATTCAGGTTTTCAAAATGTAAAGGCCAGAATCTTTGCTTTTGGCAACTTCCCTTTTCTGCTAGTCAGTCCACTGAACCTCCCTTGGTGCCAGTCCTCTGGCACTTGCCTACGCTCTTTCACCTAAGGCATAGCAATCTCTTAGGCTTGCTATTTTATGTATCAGGTGTTTAGAATTAAGGAGAGGAAAGTGACTCGCTCAGCACTTTTAACTGTACTATACCTGCGCCGGCGGTGCACGGCGGCCAGGTGCGGCAGGCGTCTACCGGCAAACGCTACTGGGTCCCGCGCCGGGGCCTGGGGCTCAGCGGCACGCCGGGGCAGGGGGCAGGCAAGGCTGCTTGCTCACAGCGGTAGCGTGCGTCGTGCGTCGGACAGGCCCGCTTGGAGAGAGAGCGCGGTCGGCTGGGAGGGCATTGGACTGGCGCTGGCCCGGGCCCGCCTGCGCGATGCTCTTCTGGCTGCGGGAGCTGGTGCAGTGGCTCGGCTTTGCAACATTTGAGATCTTCGTGCACCTGCTAGCCCTTTTCGTGTTCTCTGCCGCTACTGGCACTCTGCGTAGATGGCCTGGCCCTGGGCTTTTCCTGCTGGAACGTGTTCATACCCTTCCTCGCTGCTGATGGGTTCAGCACCTACTTCACCACCATGATGTCTGTGTGCCTTTTCCAAGACACGGAGAAGCGGCTGGATGTGCTTCTTCTCTTCTGGGTCCTCATCGTTCTTAGCCTCAAGGTCGTTTTTGAGATGCTGCTGTGCCACGAACTGGAGATCTGGTTTGGCCTGATCACGTCCCGGTCCTCATTCTTCTGCAGCTGCTCATGATCTGTGCCGGTCAGGTCAGCTAGCCTCCGGCAGGAACCAGGGAGCAAGCGTTGCACAGCTGGAGGGCTGCCGGTCCTGGACCTCAGGCCCTGCCTGAGCTACACCGGAAGAGAGGTTTTGGTCTCAAGGCAGCGCCTGCTTGCGCCTGGCTGAATACCCAGTTTTCTTTAAGCCAGTCAATAAACAGAACAGTCTTGATTCCTGAAATACTTCCTGTTATTTATGTTTTGAGTTGCTAATATTGAACTGAAATCTTGATAAAGTCCCCAGGCCACTTAGAGACCACATATAAATCGAGTGTCTTGCTGGGCTTTGAGCGTTTTCGTGGATCCTGGGTATGTACCTCTTTACAAAAGTAGCAAAACTGAACTTGGGGATTTTGTCCAACCAGCAGCAGTGACCTAAGAGCTCACTGCTCATCTACCTAATCCATAGTTCCTTAGATGGTTGAGCTCTGAAAATGCAAGAGTGTTTGTATCTTCTCCACTGTGTCATGGGAGAGGATAGCTGTTTCTTCATTCCAGCCCAGGCAGAGACAGGAAAGTGTTGAACAAGAGAATGACTGGGACCTTGTCTGGAAATCTGCCACCTAAGTAACAAACTCAGCTGTCAAGTCATTGCTTGGGTATGTTTCATGGACTTTCATGTTTCCTGTTGTTGATTGCAGTTTCATGGACTTCACCATTTTGTGGCCAGCCTCATAAGCACATCTGAGACACATTTAGGCCTCCTCAAGGGACCAAAGGTAGGAATAGGTGCTCTGACGATGGTGGGCATTGAGAACTGCAGATGGGAGCTTGTGAGTGGCCCTGTTTTGTTGGCCTGAGGTCTTTGATTTGATGTATCAGGTGCCAAATGAGAACATTTGCTAAGATGAAAATAAAATAAGATAATGTTTTCCTGAAAAAAAAAAAAAACCAAAAAACTATACTATAGACGTACCCTAAATAATGTACTATAGGCATACCCTGAATGTTTTGCCAGTTCCCTGAGCACTCCTAAGCAAATCGACACCCAAAACAAACCTTCGTCAGACTTTGGTTTAAGCATTTTCTCACTGTCTGGTACCACAGATACTCCCAGCTTTTTACACACTTCCTGCCCCAGCCCTACAGCAGCCATTTTCCCCAAGGATCCCTGCTTCTCATCTCAGACAATGGAACTAGAAACCAGGTTCTGGGGGCTGGGGGCTCAGTGAGTCAGCCTCTGGGGAAAACTAGGATACACAACACACTCCAGGATCTGCACTCCACCAACACCAATGTGTCTTTGTCCTGCCCTTTGCTGACCTGTGGCTCTCCAACAGAGAAAAGTATGGCTCTTGCCAAACTCTGGTCACGTGCTCACCTTGGGACAAAATCCACTGCTTTTTTTTTTTTTTTTTTTTTTTTTTTTCTTCTTCTTCTTCTTCTTCTTCTTCTTCTTCTTCTTCTTCTTCTTCTTCTTCTTCTTCTTTCTTCTTTTCTTTTTTCTATATTTAGGGCAGGATCTACAGGGTCTACAGGCTCTCACTACTTAGATTGGACTCATAGCAATTCTGTTTTCAGCCTCCCAAGTGCTGGGATTACAGGCACACACCACCACGCCCAGTCTCAATCACCATCTCAGTGCGGGGCTGGCACAGCAGGCCCAGGAATCAAACCCAGATGCTACCTGGCCTCTGCAGTCTGCCTAAGCAGAAACTTTAGTCTATTGAGCTGCCAGGCTGGCCCTGCTTCTGCATTTTAACATCATTGTCTGAGAAGCATTCACCAATAAGCTTAGTGTTTCCACACAGTTCTCTCTGTTTTAATCTTTCAATTTTCAGTCAAAATATCCTTTTTCAAAGATGCTGAAATCAGTTCCTTTTCTCTCTGCGCCTTCAACGGGATTATGTGCTGCAGTTAAACTGGTCATGGTCACAGCCTTCCATCAGACTCTAAGACATCTTGGCTGATTTTTAGATTTTGCATATATTGAGGTTCATTCTTCATCATGTACAGTTCTATGGACTTGATGGAGTCAAACATGTATCTACTACCTGGCATGGCACAGAACATTTACCACTCCTTTAAAAATTCCTCTGAGCGCCAGGCATAGTAGGGACATGCCTGTAACTGCAGCTACAGAGGCTGAGCAAGAAGATCCCAAGTTTGAGCCCTACCTGGGCAACTTAAATCTTGTTTCAAAATGAAAAGGGATTAAGATATAGCTCAGTGGTAGAACATTTGTTGAGTTCCGTTGCCAGTAGTGAAAAATGACATTCCCCCAGAGAACCAAAGACTATATTGACAATGGTTCTTTGATGAAATTTTGCTGCAGAGGGGAGTGTAAAGGGTTAGCAGAGTTTTGTGCCTTAACTGTGGAAAATTATTTTTAAAAAAAAACCAAAAAAACAAAAAACCTTGTGCTTCCTGTTGTTTACTCTAAGAAATGTATTCTCCCTTTGGCTCAAGGCTTTTCAACAATAAATAACTTTCTTGTCCAGGCAGCAAGCTAACATAAACTCCCTCCCCAACCATATCCTGTAACATAGTCATCTTAAGATGTATCTTGTAAAAATATGCACTTATCACTAAGCTGTGAGACCTTTTAGTTATAAACAGTTTGCAGCTGTGTCAAATGAATGCAGTTTCTGTTGTTCTGTGCTAGATAACAAATTTGCTTACCAAACTGGATGTGATTTCTGTTATAAATACCGCCCCCTGCTACCTACGTTGGGGGCCAATCAGCCTTCTCCTGTGTGAGAAGTGGCTGATGGACCTGAGCTCAGTATATAAAAGACTCTATTCAAATTTCTATCTGGCTGATCTGGTTCCTATGCAGAGTTGATCCATAACAGGGAGCAAAGTAAACACGCAACAGCATAATGGTGTAGGAAACAGGAGCTTGATATGAAGAGAAATAAATACAGCAGCTGAGTGCCGTATGGTCAGATGCTGACAACAGGCTGGCTGAGGGTGTGGCTACCAGAGTAGTGACCGGGACAGGGGGCTTCGCCGGTTTGGGCAGTGCACTCGGTGGCCTCTCTGCGCGGGGCTAAGGACGTTATCTTCACCGCTTCGGAGTTCAGAGCTAAGTCTGCAGCCACTAGAGGCATCAGGGCACGTGCCGCCAGGGCGTGGTCACGGGGTTGTGGGCGGGACTACGATGTGGGGCGGGGCTCTGCCTTGCAGGGAGGGCTTAACCCGGCGGGCGAGGCCTAAGCGCACTCGCAGCCAATCAGGAACCTACTTCCGGCCCTTGCCTGAAAATTGCTCCTCCACGGGCCTTTTCCTTCAGTCTCTTGTTTCCCTCCGGAGACTTGATAAGTAGTGCAGATTTCCATTTCCGGCGGTCCCCGTGCGGACCTGAGCAGTAAGTGTCAATCTAACTGTGACGGGGCGGCTGAGACGACGGCAGTGTTCCCTGCGGCCTGGGCAGATCGTGAGTCTGCGCGTGCCGAGTTCTCAGTCTGGGATCCTGTGTCCGGAGGGCCTTTGCGGGGCTGAGTTCTCCGACGGGGTGGGGAGGGGCGGAGAGGTCGGTGTGGAGTTGGCCAGGTGGCTTTCGCTCCGCGCGCGGGGCAGTGGCGTCCCGGCGCGAGAGACTCGGGCCTCGCTCCCCGCGTCTGCCCCGCGTAGGAGTCTGGGCGCTCTGTAATACGCTTCAGACTTTTCACTTAAAGTTTAATTGACCTTAGGAAACCACCTCATAGACCTGAACTGTCCACTATGTTAGCCACTAGCTATTGTCGCTATTTAGATTTAAGATTAATTAAAATGAACAATTTATTTTTAGTTTCCTTAGGCGCATTTGAGAGTCTCAGTAACCGCGTGTGACTAATAGCTACTATCTTAAAAGCACAGATAGAGACTATTCCATTGTCACAGACCCAAGTCTTGCTGTTTTTGACAATTAAGATGAACAAAGAGTAACTTAAGTGTAAGAGACCCTTAGCGCAGAAAACTCATGTAACTCTGTATGATACAGCAAGGGAGAAGTGAAATTGAGCTGGTATTAACCAGTTTCTGCTCCTGTAGGGTCAACAGATAAATCACCTCTAAATGAAGAAACGAATAAAATCTACTATTTTTTCTAGTGTTGCCCCATTTGTAAAATACTTTCCTTACTTTTCCATCTCTCCCTAGGTAAGTTCAAGTTACTTTTAAGTTGACAGATAGCCACTATGGAGACTAAGGATCAGAAGAAGCACAGAAAGAAACACAGTGGGCCCAAAGCTGAGAAAAAAAAGAAACGGCATCTGCGGGATCTTCAGCTTGGAGATGAAGAAGATGCCAGGAAGAGAAACCCCAAAGCTTTTGCAGTCCAGTCTGCTGTGCGTATGGCACGATCCTTTCACAGGTATGCCTAGCTGGGATCTGGTGGTTCTTCATTTATTCCTTAAGTGGTAGGAGTCTCACAGATGATATTTGGCTTCATGAGGCTAATCCAGCTCTCAGGACATGTACATGCCGTTTGGCTTTTGCCAAAGTAGGAGAAGCCTTTTCCATAGATGCTGATTGTCTTCTAGCATCTCCTGACAGGTTGACACTTATTTTGCTGATGGGAAAATAATTTATAGAATTTATTTCAAAACTTTAATCTCTATGGTGATGTGTACTTTTAAAAAATCATATAATTTTAGTTGTAGTTTGAAATACTAAAAATTATAATTTATATTAATGTACCATTTTATGTAGGGAGTCCTTGCTATATATCCAACAATGTAGTTTGAATGTTATTGAATTAAATTCTTCCAACAACCTTAAGAGAGTAGGAATTAACTATTTATTTATGTTTGAGACAGGATCTTACTGTATAGTTCAGGCTGACCTTGATCTCACTAGGTAGTCCATGCTGGCCTCCCACCTCAGTTCTGAGCTTATAGGTGTTGGTAAACCATCACACATGGCAAAAATTATTCTTGCCCTCATTTTATGGGTGAGAAATCTGAGGCTCGCAGTCAGTTATCTCCAGTCATATAACAAGTAGAAAGACCAAATTTATATCTAAAGCCTCTGCTTTGATTTGTTATGATACACTGCCTCAGGTTTTGCTTCTGTTCTTTTAAACTGTTAAAATTAACTCACAAAACAATTAAATTTAAGATGTACTGAATCTGCAACTCTATATACTTTTGTACTTTGTTACATCTTTTTTGAAGAGCTGTTGTTTGGATTGGGGCCAAAGCTTAATAAATTCATTGTATTCATGTATCACTTGTTCTTTATAAAATGTGCTTGTAAGGTTAAGAATTTAAAATAATAAAAATGAATTTCTTTTTTTTTTTTTAACAAATAGAACTCAGGACTTAAAGACAAAAAAGCATCACATTCCAGTGGTTGACCGAACCCCACTAGAGCCCCCACCAATAGTGGTTGTGGTAATGGGGCCTCCAAAAGTTGGAAAGAGCACTTTAATACAGTGCCTCATTCGGAACTTCACTCGGCAGAAGTTGACTGAGATCAGAGGCCCTGTGACAATCGTGTCAGGTAGGGGTTGCTGCCTCAGAAGTGATGTGGCAGATGTCACTTGAGGCTCATGGATGTCATTGTTTTCATGAGTAGAAAATGTTAGAATAATATTGTCACATTGTGTTATCTCTCTTCTGCTTCTCCTGCACTGACTGTAGCATCAGAAAGGGCTAGGATCCTAGGAATAGTGATATGAATATGTACCTTACTCTGGCTGCTCCATTGGCTTGGCCAGGACTGCTCCTTGGAAAGGCTCAGCAGGCCTGGTTCTGATGAGTGTATCCATTTAACAGTAAGGATGCACACCATGCACAGCTGTTTGTCATCTCAAAGCCACATTTTTGTGGAGATGAGAGGAAGCTTTCTTTTACTTTGAGAATTTGTCTGCTTTAGGTAATAGTGGTCTTTAAAAGTTTGAGGGAAGACTCAAATAATTACCAAAATGGCAACGGTGAAATCTGAAATGTATCATAACAATAGTGTAGTCAGATAGAAGCTTTTTTTTTTTTTTTTTTTTTTTTTAAGAGTAGTGGGGATTAGGGGGCCCAGGCCTTAGCTCAGTTGTTTAAGTGGCTGCTTCCACAAAGCTGTCCGCCTCAGGTTGCTGTAGTTTGATCCCCACAACACTCCAGCCAGCCAAACCACCCCTCAGGGCATTCAGATCAAAAAAAAAAAAAAAAACCTTATTCCATTTTATGGCCCTAGCCTTCTAAGGTCAATTAAGACTCAGGACATATGAGAACTTGTACTGTAACGTCATGTACCTCGGTAGTGTCCCAAATTTTCTGATCAAGAAGATTATGGGGCCAAAGAGGAAAGTGATCGATGACATAGAGTGTGCCTAAGGAGAGTCACATGGGGAGAAGATACTCTCTCAGGCTTTCACAGAGAGCACACTGGCCAAGCATTGGCCGTGACTCATCCACATGGCTGCACTGATAAAGGTTCTACAATCTGAGGTACAGGATCTCAGGACAAATCCTGAGGGCATTTCACTGACCTTCTCAGACCAAAAAGCTACAACTCTTGTTGCATAGGTCCTGCTTTACCTTGGTCTTAACCATCCAGCAGAAAAGTATGAAGATGAAATTATAAGAAATAAAGCCATGCTGTTAAGTTGAGCTGTGGGAGACTCAGGTCAATAATTTCTGACATTGCCAGTTAAACAGAAGACCCAATGCTATTATGGGCTACTGGACTCTTTTAGAATATTTTGCTGAGTTCACACACCTATAATATTCAATAACAGAACTTAGAAAAAATGGGGTATACAGATGAAAGTCCATTTTGTATCTGTGTATTCAAAGTGGTTGGGATAGATATATAGTTACATTCTGTTAATGAATAGAATGATTTGTTCTAATGGTGTTTGTAAATAGGATCACAAGTCCGCATCTTGTACAGCAATTAACCACTAAGAAGAATATATGCAGTGTATTATTTGTTGAAAAAAATAAAAAATAAAAATTAAAAAAAAAAAAAAGTAGTGGGGATTAAATCTAGAGTCCTACACATACTAGGTGTTTTTCCACCAAGCTATATTCCCAGCGTTTTTAAGATAGGGTCTTATTAAGTTGCCCAGGCTGTGTCTACCTTATGATCCTGCTTCAGCCTCCTGCATACATGGAATCACAGGTGTGTACTACCATATCTAGTGAGGTTTATCTTTAGGCATCCTTAGCTTCTTAACCAATTTCTTTTTGCTTTAACTTAGACATAACTATGTTTCCATGAGCATCTTGTGTTGTGTTTGAGGATATTTTTAGTTATAATGGAAAATTTGATAAAGGTAGTGTCATAATAGTGAATTCTGTCATCAGGATTTTACCTAGGTGAGCACGCACTCTTATTTACTTGGGTACACTTGGCATTATTTTAGAATTAAAGAGAACATAGCAAGAAAACCAATATGAAATTTATTTTACTAGTTTTCTCCTGTCAAAGAATGTTTCCTGTACTCCCATAAAATTTATACGGTGTTTTCTTGGATGCAGTTTAAAAAAAAGATAGCATTAACAAATAGAGTCTTTTTAGCATTTTTTTGAAAGTAAAGTTTTTGTCTTTCCACTTACAGGCAAAAAGCGCAGACTCACATTCATTGAATGTGGGTGTGACATTAACATGATGATTGATCTGGCCAAAGTTGCAGATCTGGTAAGTCACAGGGGCAGCCTGGGTTTCTGATGAGACTTACAGTAGTGTGATGGATTACTTATCCAATGCTAAAGAAAAATAATGTGTAGTCATTAAACTGAGTTGAATCCCACTGTTACTAGTTATACGGCACACGTATGGGAAATGTGGTCTTGATTGTATTTCGGAAGTGATAGTGGTCATTATTTCTGATAATTCCATTATCAGTGTTAAACTAGTATGAGGTAGGATGAGTAAGACCTTGGGTTGTTTTGTTTGTTTTTTATTTTGTTTTCCTTTTCAGCTGCTTCTAGTGAGCTGTTTGGTTATGAAGAGCTATAGATTTTGTCCTTCGGTCCAGGAAGACACATAAAACATGAAATAAGCCCCACCCCTTAATTCTAGTGCTGGGAGGCTAAAAGCAAGGATCACTACGAGTCCTAGCTGCCTAGTGAGACCCTATACAAAAAAACAAAACAAATAAGCAAAAAACCTGAAATAAAATTAATGTAGGTTTTTAAAGCTGTGTCATTTTAATGACAGAAAACTAAATACCATTCAGTTTATTTTGTTTCATTTTGTTATTTTCTTGTTTTTGAAACAGTCTTCTTATGCAGTTCAGGCTGGCCTTGGACTCACTATGTAGTCCACACTGGTCTCAAATGTGTGGTAATCCTCCTGTCTTGGTCTTCCAAGTGCTGGATAACAAGCATGTACCACTTTGCCTTGTTACCATTCAAATTTTGAACATGTAACACAACCATTAGTAAAAATAAGTATTATTGTCAAAGTGGCATACTCATACTAATCTGATACTTTAGAAATGATAGAAATAGTAAAACCTTCTTAATTTCGAAAATATAAGAGAGATTCCTTTTAGAAAACATAAGAGAGATTTCTTTTATGTAAATATTTTAAAGATTTAAACAAGAAACACATAAGCTTGGAGAAATACTCCAGCAGCATTGTGGGTCTTTTCTCCTTCCTTGCTCTGCCCTGTCTCTTGGTTCTCATAAGAGCCCTGTCCCAGATCCACGTAAACACACATGTAACCTTTTACACACACAAGTGTGAGTTGATTAGACATTCTTTTGTACTTTCTTTTCTTCATGTACCATTTCTTGGACTTACTTAACCAGTAAAGTTTTATAGTATAGCTCAACCTCATTTTTAATAATAGTACTCCTTTCTGTGGTTGTGATCTGGTTTAAGTTGAATGCTGTGCTCTGGGTTGTCCTCGTGCCTTCTAAGTCATGGCAAAAGCATATAGGACACAGGAGTTAGGGTGTGTACTGAAGGGGCAAAGCATGTGGTTAGCAAGGATGGAAGCAGAGGAGCATTTGTTTGCCCCTTGGTGCTCTGGTGTCAGCTGACTTCCCCCTTGTTCAAGTTGCTGAAGAGCTTTGCAGGTTGCGTGGCCTATGGTCGGCAGCAGCACCTGTGCCTCAGCACACACAGGCACCAATATGCATGTGTTTGTGGCCCAGCATCATAGAACACTCCCTCATTTAGTCAAAGATAGATGTTGTCTGTAGTTTTTGATTATTTAAGTTAGCTACAGAAAGATGAGAACAGAAATGTCTTTAATAGCTAAAACTAAAGGTCTCTAGCAGTCAGTTCTGAATTAATTACATATTTGAAGAGTTTTAAATTTTAATAATTTGTCTCATAATTTGTATTTTCTTTATAGATCATCACTCATGATTATACTGTTTTGACCCAGTTCTAAACAGCCTTTAAAAAAAATAATTTCTAGTTGAGTGTGGTGGTACATACCTGTAATCCCAGTAGTCTGGGAGACTAAGGTAGGAAGATGGCAAGTTTGAGCTCAGCTTTGGCAACTTAGTGACACTCTGTCTCAAAATAAAAAAATAAAATGGGCTGGAGAACATAGCTTATTGCAGAGACCCTGGGCTCAATCCTGAGTACCGGAAAAAAAAATGCAAGAAATTGTATGATACCATTTAAAACATATATTAACTTTTCTCATTATACTTCCTAGAAAAAAAGATTAGCCTTTTCTTATTAAAAAACTGAAACCAAAAATCAGTTTTTATATACTTTAATAGTTTATTATTGATTATTACTTTTCCCTATCTTTTGGATGTCTGAGATCTACTTGGTTTCCTTGCTAGGGACCTGTTGCTCGACTTAAAAATACAATACCAAATGCTTTATTTGTTGAAGTCAGGATTTCTCTACAGGAGCAAGGTTTACCCCAGCCTTTTCTGAGTTCTTATATACATGGATTCTTGAGATGGAAGTTGATGTCCCAGTGGTCATCTTGATCTGGTGAGAGGGCAGTGGTTTCTCTACCCAGGTGCACTTTTCTTGGAAGGGTCCAGAGAGTAAACATCTTGGGCTTCGTGTGCCCCATAGTTTCTGTTGCTACTGTTCAGACCCACAGTGGTAGTGCAGAAGCAGCTATAGACATAAGGAAATCAGCGTGGCTGAGTTCCAGTAAAACTGGTTGCAAAAATGGATGGCTGGATTTATCCTGGCATTGCTTTGCTGACTCCTGGTCTAGATGGCCCCTTTTGGAAGTTTCCTTGAGTACTTGTGTCTTCTATTTTTAGGTGCTGATGCTTATAGATGCCAGCTTTGGGTTTGAAATGGAAACATTTGAGTTTCTAAACATCTGTCAAGTACATGGCTTTCCTAAAATTATGGGAATTCTCACCCATTTGGACTCCTTCAAGCATAATAAGCAACTGAAGAAGACAAAGAAACGATTAAAACACAGGTTTTGGACGGAAGTCTATCCGGTAGGAAGAGAAATCATTACTGGCTACTAAGACAATCCTCACAAACTAGAATGAAGAGAAGCTAATGAGCATGTCTGGGATTCATTTCCCAAGTCTCCTATGTGTATCTGTTACTCGCCCTGGGGTATTTCTCTCAAAAGTCTCTATTTTGGGTCTCTTGGAATACATCATTTGTCTTCACCAGCAGGCAGTGTCTGGCTCTGTCCTGGGACCATGAATGAAAAGAGATAAGGACCAGGAGGTGCCTCTTTTCTCCTTTTTGTACTACTGTGATAGCTTTGGTCATAGAAGCCTTTCCTGCTTGGGAACATCACTGCCCTCTCCCTGCCACTGACTGACTGGAGAGTGGTCAGCTCCTCAGGAGACAAGTCCTGGAGAAGCCACCAGCTTTAGAGCACCAGGATAAGGGCTTTGCTGGAGATTTTTCCCCTCTCAGAATTCCTTTTTATTTAAGGCAGTTACTTTGGTGTTGTATTTGTAAGAATGACATTCAAATTTAATTTTTATTTTATTATTATTGTTGTTGTTGTTAGGGTGCCAAGCTCTTCTACCTCTCTGGAATGGTACATGGAGAATATCAGAACCAAGAGATTCACAACCTGGGCCGTTTTATCACAGTCATGAAGTTTAGGCCTCTCACATGGCAAACTTCTCACCCTTATATCCTGGCAGACAGGTAAAAATGGATATAACCTTTTCCTTCCTGGCTGAATTTCAAAGCTTTAAAAAAGGTTAGGAGAACACCAGTGGAGCTTATTTTGGACCATTAATGAAGATGCTGTGCTTTTGGATGAATCTTTTTTTTTTGGGGGGGGGCATGGTTCTGAGGATTGAACTCAAGAACTTGTGTTTGCCACATAGGTGCTTATGCCGCTGAGCTATATCCCCAGCCTGATACTGTGCTTTTGGGAGTGAATAAAACATATGATGTTTAGAATTGAAGGATTTTGAAGCTCTGAAAACTGCAGGTGTGGACCCTGATATCTTTTAGATTTGGTTTCCTGAGATGCCATCCTTGGGTCCAGGTGCTCCAGCCAGTCAGAACATCTGTACTGTGCTTGCTGTTGACTTTCTGGAATTCCTTCCTGCTGGAGTCCAGGCAAAGTAGGATGCCAGGTGGCAGGTTAACCTTTTACTCCCCTCTTGCTCCAGCTGGATGTCATCTCCCTCTCTAGTGGATGCATGATGCATTTACTTCCTCTCTTATAGATAGTAAATGGTGCCTACTTCCTACATTTTACCATTTTCTAAACATTGTCTCTAATGAACGAGAAATTGATGGGTCCTTAACAAATTAAAGGAGATTAGAAGGCTGTGGGAATCTGTTTCTTTTATGTGATTTTTATTTTTGTAGGATGGAAGACTTGACAAACCCTGAGGATATCCGGACAAACAGCAAGTGTGACCGAAAGGTGTCTCTTTATGGTTATCTACGAGGAGCACACTTGAAAAATAAAAGCCAAGTTCACATGCCAGGTATCCACTTTAAGAATAATATATTTGTAGAACATTGAGAATGGCTTCATTTCTTGGAGAAAACTCAAAAATGACCAAATGCCTTGCTGGAGGGTTTTTGTTTGTTCATTTGTTTGGGCTTTTTGTACTAGGAACTGAGCCCAGGGCCTGACACTGCACTGAATCTCACTAAGCTGTTAAGTTGCCTGGGCTAGGCTCCACCAAGCCTAGCTTATTAGTGGTTTTAAAAGTTAAGCTGAGCATGATAGCACACACCTTTAATCCCAACCAAAGGAGGCTCTATTGAAAATTGTGCTCCTGCCTGGGCAGCTGATTGAGATTCTATTGCAAAATTTTAAAAAGGGTTGGGTATGTAGTTCAGTGACGTAACATCCCTTGATGTTTGTTGATCCCAAGTACTGCTTTCCAATAAACAAAAACAGAAACCCTACTTATGAATTGTAAAGCAAAGGTACTAAATAGATGGTGTTATAAGTAGACGGTGTCATATGGCTAAAGAGGCACGATACATTCCAGTGGTGAATGGTGCCCTTTTTACACTTCAGTTTCAGGCTTTGGCATATGGGATACTTTCCAGCTGTAGGTACTTGTTGGGTTGCTATCACCTAAAAGTCCCCTCTCCAGGTGTCGGAGATTTTGCTGTGAGCGATGTCAGTTTCCTGCCAGACCCATGTGCTCTTCCTGAACAGCAAAAGAAACGCTGTTTAAATGAGAAAGAAAAGCTGGTTTATGCGCCTCTCTCTGGAGTTGGGGGTGTGCTGTATGACAAAGATGCTGTCTATGTCGACCTTGGTGGCAGCCATGGCTTTCAGGCAATGGTAAGAAGGCTTCTCTGAATTCTTCTTATCTTTCCAGTCTGTGTTTCACCACAGCAATGCATTATTTTTATTTATCTGAGCCTTTTCTCCTCATTCATCTTTATGCTGAGGCCCAAATACATATATTAAGGGCACAGAATATCTGAGTATCTCATTGTATCAACCAGAAACAAAGCCTCCTGCCCTCCTGTCATCTCTATCTCTGACCTATCGCTCTCAGTACAGGCACCTTGGCAGGGTGGCATCTGCATGGCCCATCTTTTCCATACAGACCCGCCTATTTTCCAGCTCTCATTGGTCTTTTTTTCAGCCTGTTTTCTCATTCAGGATAGTCTTGTTTCTGCTTTTTAGAATGGACTCCAGGTTTCTTATTTTTTGAAATAAGGTTATTTATTACTGAGTTAAAATAATGTTTTGTTTTGTTTTTGTTTTTTTGTATTTTAGGGATGGGTCCACAGGGTGTTCAGGGTCTCACTACTAGATCGGACTCAGTGATCCTCCTGTGTACAGCCTCCCAAGAGCTGTGATTATAGGAATGCACCACCATGCCCAGTCTCAATTGCTGTCTCAGCATGCCCTGGGGGGCGGGGACGCCTTGGCAGGCCCAGGGATTGAACCCCCGGCCTCTGTCCCTGCTTGCAGGCGCTTTAATCTGCTCAGCTATTTGGCTGGCCCTAAAATAATGTTTTTGAAAGTACTGGGTCCTGTGGATTTTCAAAGTATTTTATAATAACGTCCTGTGGATGTTGGAAAAGCGTTTTAAAGAAGATGGGCATCAATTTCTTTCTTTTTTAAAAAATGTATTTAGTACAGGGTCTTACTACGCAGATCAGACTCATAGTGATTCTTCTGTTTTCAGCCTCCCAAGCACTGGGATTATAGGCACGCACCACCATGCCCAGTCTCAATTGCTGTCTCAATGTGCCCGGTGGCAGGGCCAGCATGGCATGCCAGGGATTGATCCCTGGTCTCTGCGTCTGCCTAAGCTGGCACTTTAATCTGCTGAGCTATCTGCCTGGCCCCTAATCAATTTCAAACTTTGTTGTAAAGATTCTTTTTGAGGACATAAGAAAGATTTTCAGGAACTGTGTAGAGCAGTTTTGCAGTGCTAATGGAAATCGATGTCTCCAGAATCCTTTTTGCACTCTCTTCACTTTCCTTCCTTGATTTGACAGGAGGAGGCAGGGCCCACCCAGGAGCTGGTCCAGAGTCTCATTTCCACCCACTCCACTATTGATGCCAAGATGGCTTCAAGCAGAGTGACACTTTTTTCTGATTCCAAACCTTTGGGGTCAGAGGATATAGATAACCAAGGGTAAGTGTAACTTTTTCCGTTTTTAGTAAATACTGCATCATAGAAGATCCTAGCACCCATCATTCTGCTGTTGCAGTACACAAGGTTGCTGTTTTCCATTGTGTGAGCATGTGTTTCTCAAGTTTTGTTTGTTTTTTTTCATAGATAATGTCTCAATTAGTCTTCTCTCGTTGCTGGGACAAATACCCAACACCCAAAATGAAGGAAAGAAAGGTTTATTTAGCTCACAGTTACTGGAGGTTTCAGTCCATACTCAGCTAGCTCCAAGGCGGACTGGCACAGGGCAGAGAGCACCCTTTCATGGCAGTAGCAAGGAGCAGAGAGCAAATGGAAGAGTAGCAGCAACACAGAGAGAGTCTGTCTCTCTGTCTCTCCTATATTACATTCAGGCTATCCACCCAGGCTGGGGGAAGTACTCACACCCATAATCCCAGCAGTACTAAGACCTATAATCCCAGTGGATCATGGGTTAATCTCAAATTCTAGAAGTCCCCACCCCATGACTGTATGAGGCTTTGGGGGGACAACTAGGCACAAACCATAGTAGGTAGCTTGTAGTTTAAGAGACCAAAGGCTGCTTAGCTTCCTCTTTGTGTCCTACATCCTAGAGCAGAGTCTAGTACTGGTCAGAGTTACACACTTTGTGTGGAAGGTTTTTTGGATTGTATTGTGTCTCTGGGGTAATGTCCACTAATGTACAGCTCATGTGAATTTTTTACTCTGGGTTTGGAATTTGTGAACATAAGGGGTGTGTGTATTGAATTGTGCCTTCTACTCAATCTAGTATATAATTTCTTCTAGTGTGCCTATATGTTTAGTATTGCAGCTGACAGATAAAGAAGTGTTCACTGGAAGTTGTTGTTACTCTAATCCATGTGGTACTTAGCTACTTTCATTTTTGTGTGTCAATGTTTCATATTTATTAGTGTAGATACTCCTTTCTGACATTGGTACAATGCATTTTATTTTATGTTAGTATCCTGAGCTTTTCTTTTTGTTTTGTGGCACTGGGGATTGAACCATAGAACCTCTGCATTGAGTTACACCCCTGGGTCGGATTTTATTTATTTTTTTATCATAATTTATTTTGAGACAAAATGTTGCCAAGTTGCCCAGGCTGGGTTCAAACTTGTGACCCTCCTGCCTCAGCTTAAGTACTGGGATTACAAGCATGTACTGCCATAAGTGTCAGCATTTCCTTTTTGTGCAGTCTTCATATGGTCATTACGTTATCATCATTGGTATCTTCTGACTTACTCTCTTAAGGTGCCATTTCAGTTTTTTTACAGTTGATGTGTTCCTAATTTTATATGTAGCACTATGTTAAGTAGTTTTATATAGTTTTTATTTCATCTTGTAGCTTTAGAATCTTAATGATTCTGCAGTTATGCGTGGTAACTCAAAATGGCAGTTGTCTTAGTCACTTTCTGCATTATTGGAACAGAATACCTGACCGTTGCAACTTGAAGGGGAGAAGTTTAATTTGAGTGGTAGTGCAGAAGTTTCTGTCCATGCTTGGCAGGCCTGACACATGGCACAGCAGAAGGCCCTGGGTAGGGAAAAGTTGCCTGTGTTATGGTCACTAGGAAGCAGAGAGAAGGCAGCTCAGAGAGCAGTAGACCCTTCCAGGTCCTGTCCCTGTGACTGGGTGACTGGGCCCTGCCTAATAGCAGATCAGCTATGAGACCCCAGGGAGCCTTAGGGGACAACTAGATCTAAACCACATGACCAGTTTTCTTGTTGATTGATGCTTTGATATCTGTCAGCTGATTTTTCTTTAGTAAAGAGCCGTCACTTCTTCTATTCTAGAGTCACTGTTAACCAAGGCATTTGGTCATTTTTGAGTTACCTCATTGTTGCCATTACTCTTATGCCTCCATTGTCTGTGATTTGACCACAGGAAGGCTCAGTCTGTTTCTTGTGTCCTGTTATGTATCTCCATTGGTCTCTGGGTACTTGCCTGCTATACCACAGGATGGTCCAGCTTATTTTGTTGTATTCCTGCTGCAGGGCTGGAGCCACATTTCTAGCTTGGAAATCTGTTTTTCAAAAGATTTACTAAATACTAACCACCCTTTTGAACAGTTCGCCTGAAATTAGGGTTTGTTTTTTTTGTTTTATTTTGTTTTTTAAAAATATATCTCTTTATTCTTCTTGTCAATGTACAAGTGCCTTGCTAGGGAATTGGCAAAAGTTTACTTGTTAACTTTGATAGTCTTTATCAAATCATTTTCCTGTGCAGTGTCACCCTAAATCATCCCTTGACATTTTTGTTGACTGTATCACCATTTCTGGATTAGCCAGCTACTTTGTGTACATCCTAAAAATTATTTTAAATTTATGTGATAATGCAGGCTGTGGATGCCAAAAGAGGAAAAGCAGCTGGATGTGAGTAGTGGTCGGATACGCCGCAGAGCCTTGTTTGGAGATGAAGAAGGTGAATCTGGAGGCAGCGATGAGGAGGAGGATGAAGACAGTGACGGCCTGGAAGGTGGTTCTAGTGGTGATGAGACAGAGGAGGAACAAGGTCCTGAAGGCACTGAGTGTGAGTACGCAGAGGGCAAGGGTGTCAAGCGGCTGAAACTGGAGACAGATGAGGACAGTGAGGTGGACTTGCCAGCATTTGCTGACAGTGATGATGACCTTGAGAGGAGCTCAGAGGATGGAGAAGAGGAGGAAGCCAATGAAAGCAGTGAGGATGATGACCTCGGTGGAGAGGAGGACATTCTAGAATTGAAGGCTGATAGAGAAGGTGGCAAAGGAAGACTGTTGCCAGCTAGCCTTCGGAGTGGCCACCAAAGCCTGGAGAAGTCTTTGCCAATGAGGAAAGCAGTCCTAGCCGCTTCTGACTCTGGCCACTGCACAGCGGAGGAGGCCTTTGCATCTGGAGAAAGCTCCTCACCTAGCTCAGAGGAGGAGGATGCAGGAGACGGAGAGGCTGTTGGGCAGAAGCACATGTGCCCTTCCAGAAGGCAACATGGTCAGAAACCAGGGTCGAAGAACTTGATTGAGGAGACCAGTGATATTGAAGATTTACTCAAAGAGGAAGAAGATTATAAGGAAGAAAATAACTGTTCCGGGGAAACATCAGGTAACTAACTTCAAGTATGTTTAAGGTTAATTGGCTGCTCTAGAAATTTGGCACTTGAAGTGTTGCTGTCAGTATGGTGCTCACGTTTGGGGTCTGCTGTTGGAGACTTTGTTGATTGCTCAGGTGCTACACCATGAGCTTGAAGCAGGGAGGACACAAAGTGGGTGTAACTGGCTCTGGTGTTGTATTCCAGGGGCTCTCAAGTGGAAGGAAGACCTCTCGAGGAAGGCAGCAGAGGCCTTTCTGCGACAGCAGCAAGCAGCACCAAACCTCCGAAAGCTTATTTATGGGACAGGTAAAGAGCTCTTGGCTTACAGCTAGAAATGTCGAGTGTTTTGATTTCTATTAATTTATTTAGGTACTGGGACTTGAACTTGGGACTTTGTGCTTACAGGCACTTAGGTTGCTGAGCTATCTCCCTAACCCTGCTCTGGGTTTTTAGACTTATTTTCTATAAAAGAGATAAGGGAGTTGTTTGGGAAATTGGGGCATTGCTTTGACATCTGTAATTCATGGCTGTCACATTTTACATTTGGCAGATGTTTTTAATCAGCTCGTGAGGACCATAGATTGGTCATGTGAAATAGATTTATGGGTTTGCCATAACATTTTTGATGAGAATACTGTGCATTATGTCATTTCATATTCTATTTGAAAGTCTTACTTGAAAAATTTTATAAAATTTAATGCCAGGAAAATATTTCTGCCCATAAAAACCTTTTTCTTTTTTGAAAATGAGAACCCTGTGTAATACAGTCCCTTTCCCCTTTGCCTTTGTTCTCTGATTTTACCACTTATCAGGCTTGCCTGTATGTTCCTTTTGGAATAGTGGATATAAAATGATGAGTTTTAATCTCTGCTCTTCAGTTACCATGTGACTAGACACTTTGGGAAAGGAGCATCAAGTTGGAGGCTTGGTACATGCCAGTTCTCACTAAAGATTTGCCAAGAGACTTTAGTAATTAAGGACTCAGCACTCTGCACAAAAACCCCATAGTAATTTAAAGCCCTGCATTTAATGGTCACACCCTGCCCCAGCTCTTGATCTGTTCCTGCTGGTGTCTTCAGCATCTCTGTCTGTGGCTGAGTGTTGTGTGTGGCTGACTGGCTCTGGGCTGCCACTGTGCCCGCCACACAAGGGCCTGCAGTCTCCTGGGTTATAGGATGAGAGCCTTAACTGGTTGATACTGAATTCTCCTGGACTGATGATTTTGATCTCACTTTGCCATCATGATGTTTCCTTTAGTGATAGAAGATGATGGAGATGATGATGGAGATGCCCAAGAAGAGCTGGGAGGGCTGTTCCGCATCAGGCAGCCTGATGGAGGGTGCAAGCGCAAGGCTGATGCACTAGACTGCTCCAAGTTTCCTGTGGAAGCGCCCCATGATTGGGACTTGGAGGAGGTGAGATGGAATCATGTGTTTACCTCTGGAAGGAAAGAGAGGATTGTTCAGAATATGGTGAACCTTTTAAAGACTGAGCCCTTAAACTGCCATCCAAAACCTACGTATCACAAAGTGCTAACACTGCACCTGAATACTGAGGTTTTAGTTTAGTAAAAACAGCTCATACACTTGTTTGCTAGTAGAATCTCTTCTGAGTAGTATTGCTTCCCCATCATTGGCCTCTTGTTTTTACATAAGGTGATTTTTCTCAGTATCAGAGTAGGTATTTTGTGCATCCTGAGCAGTAACCTGTTTTGAGTTTAGTCACAGCATGTATGTATATCATGCTTGATTTCAAATGTTGTGTATACAAATTTTTGTACATTTGTAACATTGCATGTTAACGTTATGTGTCTGATTACTGAGAATGGTCTGTTGTCCTGAGTTAAAATTTACAATTTCTACTCTTTGTAAGAATAGAAAGATAGATAGCAAGCAAACAGGTAACACTGGGAATGTTCTTTTCCCCATGAACCACTCCCTAAACTGGGATTCACTTCTCAAATTTGCCAAAGCTTAATTCCATGTTGGACCTTCTCACCTTTTGTTTTTTCTTCTGGATTATTCTTATCTTCCCAAGCCTGACTGCTTTTTGTCAGGTTAGGTTAGATATTTGTCAGTCCTCAGTGAAGCCTAGTTACTCTCATATTGCCTAATACTGTTCACCGTCTATTTTAATCTAACAATTTTTATGTAACAATTTTTAAATGATAAAATTTAATAGGGATAAAGAAAACCACATAAAAAATAAAGCCACATTTGACTCAGTGAGCTGCCAGAAGTTGATCTCTGTCAAGGAGCACATCTAGACTGCCTGTTTTTCTTCTTCACAATTTCACCTTCTGAATTTGTATCACTAAACTCCATAGTTTTTAGTTTCACGTGGTTTTTAATATTTTTCTTTGTTTTGTAAATCTCTTAATCTGCATTCCTGTCCTCCTCTCATCTCTGGTTTTTGCTTTGTTTTGCTTTGCTTTGTTTCCCCATCCCTGTTCCTGTGCACTTCATTTGTGGAAGAAACTGAATATTGCTGGGTAACATTTCTCCTATTTGGAGCTCATGGATGCATTGTGTCCCCGTGTGCAGTGTGCCCAGCCGTCTCCTCAGGATTCCCTTCAGCTCAGCTCAGAGCCATGTGGAGAGGGGAGTGCCTCCCGCAACTGTCCAGGGGCTGCTTGTGGGTTGAGCACTTAGGTCAGTGGGCTGCTAGGATTGAAGAACTAAATGTTTTATTTAATCTTGGTTAATGTAAGGTTGATTTAGATAGCCAAATGGTTGTAGACAAAGTATGCAGAAGTTGCATAGTTGAAGTTTGATTTTATTGAATCTGTGGGCAGCTGTGCTTCCTAGGTGCTGGTGGTTTTTGAGTAGGAGTCCAGTGGAGTCTTAGCTGTCTTCCCTGGTGTCAGCACTCATGATCCTTGATGTGCAGAGCCCCAGATTTCTTAAAGCTATAGAAGGGTGACTCATTTGTTTTTGGGTTACGTACTTCAGTATAAGCAGAATAAAATCCTCAATTTAAAAAAAAATGTGTTGGAAACCAACTGCAGGGCTCCACACATGCTGTATAAGCTCTCCCTGCTGGGCCACATTTCTGGCCTCCATCGGAAGTACCAGTTCCTTTTAGTAGAAGATGGCACTCCCAGTCAGGGCATGAGGATGTTTATTGCTATGAATTGGTCATTGTTTCTAATCCTCAGTGGTCAGAATGAGGAATTTATATAGATGTTTTCAATTCATGTTCAGTATTACATCTTATGTGTGTCCATTTTTCTATTAGAGATTATCCACTGGTTGAATCTGGAAATAAAATTAGAAAATCATGTAATTCCTTATTTGGTCTATCTCATAATACACATAAAACGTGATTGTGAAAAATACTTTTTCCTATACATGATATCTCTTTCAAAAGCAATTGTGCCATTTTTGCCATTCCTGCCAACAGAGTTTTGGTTTCACTTTGTGTCTTCATCATTCGTTACCTGTTTTTCAATTATAGCTGTCCTAGAAGATGTGAAATGATACCTCACTGTGGTGTTAATTTGCATTTCCCTGATAAGTAATGATTCCAACATCATGGCATGTGTTTTCTGCCCATTTCTATAAATACTTGGAAGAAATATCTATTCATATTTTTTGCGTATTTTTGAGATTGGAGGAAGAGTTGCTTGTGTATTCTGGATACAAGTCCCTTACCAGATTCTTGATTTGCAAGTATGTTCTCCCATTCTATAGAAATTAAAATTTCAAGCAGAAATAATAGGTTTAGATTAACAAATACACTTAATTTGGTAAAATGTCCCATTACATTGCCTTAAAAACATTAATACACTGAAAATTAGTAAATTACTCTTTACTTATGAGGTTAGTGGCCTAGGGGTATTTTCCTTAACCATTGCTTAATGTTGTGACCTGTGTGTTTTGTCTCTGGTCATACTGGCAGCGTTGCCCTGCTGGCCCTCCGACAGGAGATGCCTGGAAGTACCTCAGGAAGCACTTATAGGCCAGTGGCAGCCTGCCTCCACGCCTCAGTAGCAGCTCCCTATGGTGTGAGCATGTCACTGAGTGCTGTTTTTCTGTGTTAGGTTATGAACAGTATACGAGACTGCTTCGTGACAGGGAAGTGGGAAGAAGACAAGGATGCAGCCAAGATCCTAGGAGAAGACGGTAAGGTTGCCTGTGCTCTTCTGTGTCTTAACCACAGGTGGGGGCTGATGGTGTGCTTTGGCAGTTGTGGGCAGTGCCCTCATGTCTCCTTTCTTCTGTTAGCCTGTTGAATAGATATGAACCTTAAAAACAGTGAGAAAATTGCCATAAATTTGAATATGCATTCCTAAAAGTAGGTTTCTTTTGTGTGAAAAAATGTACTCAAATAATGTATATTTTTGTTTTGAGGTTAAATGTATTATCTGTAGAAAATGTAGAATTAAAAGTATATCTCATACTAGAGTTCTTTCATCCATTAAGAAAAGCGTTTGTTAACCTTAGATGTAGTTCTTCCTAATCATTAAAATTGTGTTACCATTCTTAATTTTTCCATTAAGGTTTTTCAAAATGATTTGTTATGATTTAAATACCATACTGTAATTCAGGGCACAGTACTACTATTATTTGAGAGACTTTGTCCATATTGTAAAGAGATCTATACCGGATGACCATCAAGCAACTCTTAGAACATAGTTTTTATTTTTATAAAATAAAAGTGTGCAGTTACCAAGTGGTCTTTCAGAAGGCCATTCTTAGTTGTGTGCCTTTGAGCGTGTATCTTAGTGCTTACTATACTATTACTCAATATTGAGTGCTATCTGTAATTTTTTTGGCCAATTTGAGAGTTCAAATTTTTTTTTTTTTCTCTTTTCAAACATTTCTTGGGCTACTCATAAGTGAGAATACTCATTTAAATCATTTCGGCTGTGACACTTTTTTGTGACTTGCTTGTATCCTTTGCCCATTTTTCTGCTGAATATTAATGTTTTTATTGGTATATAAGCTTGAGCTTTTCTAAAGGATGTTTATCAGTCCTTTATTGTTATTTGTTGTCGTTTAATTTTAAAATTGTGTTTATGTGAACAAATGTGTAAAAGATTATGTAATTAGGTCTAAGGTCCTTCTGTGTATGCCAGGGAGAAAGCTCAGCCTACTAAGTGCCTGTCTGTCAAACACCAAGTACCTGGGTTTGATCCCTGTTACCGCATGCCATGCTGGCCCCAGAAACTGGGCATGCGCCTATAATCCCAGCGCTAGGGAGGCTGAGACGGTAGGATCACTATGAGTCCAAGCTGCATAGCGAGACTCTGTACCAAAGAAACAAATAAATCTTTTAAAAAAATAAAGTCCTTCTGTGGAAAGATCTCTTTTGCTTACTCTTTCCATGGTGATTGCTTCTGTATCATTTCTCTAAAGGTGGTTTAACAGGTTCTGTTGCTAAAAAGACTCCTCTGGCCCAAAAAGACAATGCTTACACGTGCATTTCATGGAGGGAACAGATGTAGTGTCTGTGGGAGAAGCCGCTCCTCCCCGCTGCTGTCTCCCTCTGCAGGCCCGAGGCCATGGCTGTGGAACCCTCCCCCATCTCCTGCCACCCCTGCTTCCAAAGAACACAGATTGAGAATGGATTTTATACTCTTTTAAAGGACTGAAAACCCCCCAATATATTTTGTGATATGGATACTATATGGAGTTTAAATTTCAGTTTCTATTGTAAATTGTTACTGGAACAGTTACATAAGTTTGAGTAGCAGAGTTGAGCAGTTGCAACAGGGGCTGTATGGAAAGCCTAAAATATTTACTCCTGGCTGTTCACCAGAGTTTGGCAGCCTAGATCTAGAGTAATACCCCAATTGCTCACTCACTTTAAGAGCGACAGTAACTTGACTTTTGGAAGTTACCTGGCCCATTGTCATGGAACATGTTCCTTACAGTGTTAATGAGCTCTCTTTCATTTCTCCCAGTCTTACGAGCTGTGTGTTAGGAGTAAGATTTGATTAGATTCAGGTTAAGTATTCCTAGAAGGTGTGCACATATGTGTATCCAGTCAGTGCTCCTGGGGTAATTCTAGTTACCAGTTTTAGTTTTTCCGTGATCATTGGTTGAGTGTTTTTGATGGTGGTTGTTGTTTATATTTTAATATTTTCAGGAATCATAACATTTTAATAAACAGTGAAGTTTCACTGGAATCTGGAATTGTTAAAGAATAAAAATTTTTATCTGTTATATACACTTTGTCCTTTCCAGTTTTGGGTTTCTAAGGTAGATTTGCAAATTACTTCTCAATAATTTGTAGGTTTCTTTTCAATCCTGCTATTTTCTTACTAGAAAATTAATGAAGTCTGGCTTTTACTTATATTCCTTAGTTGTAGAATTAAGAAAAAAAAAATTGTTTCTGTTAGAGCCTGCTTTTTTAAAATTGAAATAGAGCAGTGCTCAGCTGAGTCAGTTTTGATAGTCACGTATGGCTGACTTCATGTGTGTAGAAGACCATGTGGTGTGTGCCTTAGTGACTTGTGTAGGGGTGTGTGGTGTTGCGTGGTGGTGCTTGCCTTCATCATATGTATAGGTCTATTTACAAACTGCGCAGAGCAACCCATTACAGCAGGACTCCTTCCTTCTCTTGTCCTGTTCTCTCAGGAGCCTGTTCCCTTCCCTGCTGTCCTTCTGTCTCTAGTCTCTATCCTGTAGGAAGCCTGATCTGTTCTAAGTCTATATCTTCTTAGGATGTTAGATAAATGCAGTTACTTGGCATTAACCTCTGCCGTCTGGAGTTTTTCATTGTCCACAGTTCCCTGGACATATTCAGGTCATCACCTGTCACTGTAGCTTACCCTTCTTTCTTGCTGAGTGGTGTCTCGTGGAAAGCACATCCCAGTGTGTTTGGCCCACATCCTGAAAAGAGATTTGAACTGTTGCAGTTTGGGGTACTCACACCTGGGCATCTGTGAACGTACATTTTCATATAGCCAGTGCTGGGGTGGGGAGAACCCAGGCTTTGCACATGTATGGCCAGCTCTGCTTTTCAACCACATCTCCAGTCCCTGGGGTAGAGGTTTCTGTGTGAATACAAAGTTCCTACATTCTGGGATGCATGCACATGATTGCAGTTGCTGGGTGATCTGGTAATTGCATATTTAGTCTTACAGGAAACTGCTGGGAGAGGGGGCATTTGTATTTCTTTTTTTTTTTTTTTTCAAAGTTTTATTGATAAACAGCAATGAGACAGTTTCAAATCAAATCGGAAGTACAGTTTCAACAAATAATACACTGCATATATTCTTCTTAGTGGTTAATTGCTGTACAAGATGTGGACTTGTGATCCTATTTACAAACACCATTAGAACAAATCATTCTATTCATTAAGAGAATGCAACTATATATCTATCCCAACCACTTTGAAGTGTGAGAACTGCTTCATCCTCACCAGCATGTGGTGCTCTTGCTCTGTTTCAGCCATCATTACATCTAATGATTCTTCACTGTGTTTTTATTTTATATTTCCCTGATACCTTATATTGTGTAGCACCGTTAGCATTTTTTAGCCTGCTTATCTGCCATCTTTTTGTAAAATGTCTAGATGTCTTTGAATCTTTCTCTCATTATATTGTTGGGTTTTGCTATTATTTGGGGTACTTTATTGCAGATGTATGTAGATGTAAAATGTCTATAGCTATCTTTTGTTCACTTACTAGTTCTGGGACATTTGTATTTTGATTTTGCTAGATTGCTTGGGATTTTCTACATGGACAGTTGTGTAATTTGCAAGTAGAACAGTGTAGTTTCTTCCTTTTCCAACCATTTGCCTGGTATTTTTTACTTTTTTTCTTACTGCAGTGGCTAAGATATTAGTGCTGTATTGAATGAGGGGCTGTGAGAGAACGCCTTGCCTTTCTCCCTAGTTTTTTCTCTGGAAGTCTGGTGTTGATTTGGTTATTTTTGTACACGTTATGTGCTCTTTTTCCTTCTGTTCCTTGAGTATTGAGGATTTTTTTTTTTAAAGTCATGAATGGTGTTGAATTTTGTCTAATGCCTTGATGTACCACTGATATTATCATGAAAATTGTGTTCTTTACTCTTTGCCGTCATGGATTGTAGGGTTTTTGTTTGTTTGTTTGTTTGTTTGTTTTGTTTTGTTTTTTATAGGGTCTCAATACACAGTTCAGACTCTTAGTAATCCTCGTGTCTCAGCCTCTGTAGTGCTAGGATTACAGGCATGTACCACCACACCTGGTTCCAGGCTGGCACGGCTTGAGTACTGGGGATGAAACTCAGGACCTTGCGCTTGACAGGCAGGCAGTTATGTTGCTGAGCTATTTCACCAGCCCTGTGTTAATTTTTTCTACTGAACAAGCTTTGTATATCTGGATTGAATCCCACTTGATCATGGTATATACATCTTTTTAAATGTTGCTAGAGTCTATTGGTAGTATTTTATTGAAGATTTTGCATCTAAGTTTATGTAAGACAGATGTCAATAATTTTGTTTTTAGTACTGTCTTCATTTGCTTCTTTTTTATGTATTTAGTACAGGGTCTACAGGGTCTCACTACACAGATCAAACTTGTGGTGATTCTCCTGTTTTCAGCCTTCCAAGCACTGGGATTGCAGGTGGGCACCACCACGCCCAGTCTCAGTCGCTGTCTCAGTGTGCCCTGGGGGTGGGGCTCTGACGGCATGCCAAGGATAAACCTCAGTCCCTGTGTCTACTTCTGCTGAGCTGTCTCACTGGCCCTTTCATCTGCTTTAATGATAAGAGTTGGAAAGTGTTTTTTAGAATTTGATGAATGGCTGATTTAAATATTTGATATAATTCTCCAGTAAAACTGTCTGGGCCTGGAGATTATTTGTTTAGAAGCTTCCAGGTACATTATATTTCTTTCATGGCTAGAGGATGACTGAGGTTATTAGTTTCATTTTGACTAACTTTTGGAAGCTTGGGATTTGCAAGGAGTTTCACAGACCTGTACCTTTTCAGACCTACTGGAGTATTCTGAGGGTGATGTTCATAAAAATGTTTATTTGCTTTTTTTTTTTTTTGCTAATTAAAAAAAATTCTAATTATCAATATACCCTAATTGCACAGGTTAGAGTAATTCACTCTTTTCCCATGCATACATGTCATGCTTTGACCATATGCATCCAGCCCCCTTTTACATTTGAGTCTTTCTTTTTAGTTTCCATATATGAGAAAGAACATATAGAGCTTGTAGCCCAGGCTGGTCTTAAACTGGTAGGGCTCCTCCTGCCTCAGCCTCCCTAGTGCTGGATTACAGGCATGCACCACCGCGTCCCACAGTAAGATTTTTTTTATAAATAGCTATTTTTTTTATTTTTCTGTTTTCCCATTTTTAATTTTATTGACTTCTGTCCTGCTAAGTTTAGATTTATTTCGTTCTTTTTCGGTTTTCACATCTTGTTGGTTTGAGGCCTTTTATATTTCTACACCTTACATTTGGTAAAGTGTTTGGTGTGAGAAATGTCCCTCTTGGTGCTACTTAATTGCACCTCACAAATTCTCATGGCTTTTCATTTTTATTCCATTCTGTACATTTTTATGTTTCCACGGAGGCTTCTCTTCGGTTTTTGAATATCAGCAGTTTGTTGTTTAGAGATTTTCCTATTCCTTTCTATTACAAATTTCTACCTTGATTATTTTCCTGTTGGCTATTCTGAATTTCTAGATTGATTATGTGATATTCTTAGGGTACATACTCTTATGATTTCTTTTCTTTTAATTTTGTTGAGATTGACTTCACTGCTTAGAACCCAGTATCTCCTTGCTTTTTCTTGTAGTTCTTAAAATATTTGTACCACACCCTCTGGCCTCCTGGCTTCAGCACAGAAGATGCTGTTCCCGGGTTGGGTGCCCCTGCAGGTATCTCTGTTTAGTTTTCAAGCATTTGACCAACCTACGTTTCTTGGATTCATTTTAAGGCTTCCTTGGCTTGAGTCTGAAAGTTTCTCCTCAGATTTAAGAAGCATTTTGCCTGCTCTAGAGCCTTGATCTCCTTGTGGGACTCTGCTGGTGTAAATGTGGTGGTTCACTTCCCACAGTCCACAGACTGTGTTCTCTGTTGTCTAGATGTTGAATTCTGCTGATCAAGCCTCCACTTCCTTCATCGCTCTACCTTCACTAATGAACCAACCCATCCAGTGGTTTTAAATTTGTTATTGTAGACTTCAGTTCTTTCATTTTCATTTGATTCTTTCTTTCTTTCTTTCTTTCTTTCTTTCTTTCTTTCTTTCTTTCTTTCTTCTTTTTGAGTGTAATGTATTTTAATAGCAGACCTATAGCAACAGCAAAGAAAGACAACATTAAAAACATGTACTAACATGTAAGACAACTCAGAAAAGTATAGTGACCGGATAGAATCCACTGTATGATAAAAATGCTAGAAACACCATTTATTTACCATCAATAAGAATTTACTTATTTTTCTTTTAAAAATCCAAATGCTGGCATTGTCCAGAAAAATTTAACAGGTTTTTATTTATAATTGTTATAAAGTTGAAGTGCTGAAACTTGTTCACTGAAATATTTTGACTTGCATTAATATTTTACATTCCCACATGAATGTTAAAAATTCACACACAAATAAAAATGAAAAAACTGCCAATACCTGATTTCTGTCCCTATTTACCACTTGCAGTCATGTACTTAGGTAACTTTTGTTTCCATGGAAAAAAATCTAACATTCAGAACTACCAGTAACAGAAGAGAAAAAAAAAATTTAAGAATGAAATGTTTCCCACCATAATGATTAAGCACGTTCTCCACGTATGCGATGTGCCAGTTGGATATCTTTTGGCATAATTGTTTTTCCATTGGAACCAGTAGATCAGAGCTTGGAGTATGAGGGCACAGGGTTCTGTACTGTTGTGTGGAGGCCCCACTCACTGAGGACCCTGCGGATGTTCTTTTCCAGATGAGCTCTATGGTGACTTTGAAGACCTAGAAACAGGGGATGTGCACAAGGGAAAGCCAGAGCCAGATGCTCAGGTGAGTCTATCATAGCTTCATCCCCTTGCACCATAATAGTCCTATTAAAAAACACACTTCTGATGGCTACTGGGTTTCCTGAAGACCCTTAGATAGGGTCCTTCCTGGAAGTGTTGAGTTGCCGGATAGGTAGAAGTCATCCATTGACTCAGTCTTTTACATAACAACACCAACCACTTCTTGTCATGGTTGTTTACCAGATTCCTTACAATTTTTTATTCATGGAGGTTTTTAGCTGAACTCTTCCTCTTCCTGGGAGTGTCTGAGTGGGCACATTTCTGTCACTTTCTGGTGTGTCATTCCAGGCTGAGGGTCCAGCAGTGGTTGCATTGCTGTTTCCAGCAGCAGGGTGCAGTGTCTTAGAGCCAGAGGCTGCAATTTGTTTTATTCATGATGGTCATAACTAAAATTTCTTAGTTCAAAAAGAGATTTATCTGTTTTTATGTTTAATAAACTTTGAAATGTTTTTCCTTTTGGAAATTTAAGACTGAAGATGTAGAAGGAGAAGTCAAGGAAGAAACTGACCCCAGCACAGAGGAAGACGCCAAGAAAAAGCATTTGGAGAAGAAGAGAAAATTGAAGGAGCTGTTTGACGCAGAATATGATGAAGGAGAAAGCACTTATTTTGATGACCTTAAAGGAGAAATGCAGAAACAATCACAGGTGAGAGAACTCCCAGGGCCAGCTGCCCCAGCCTACTCTGTGTCTTTCCTGTGGCTCTTGGTCGAGCTGCACGTGGGCATGGTTGCTCATGGTCTCAGTCAGAAACTCCAGAGCAACACCAGAGCCTGCAGTGCTAGGCCTGCAGAACTGAGGGAGCAAAAGGGATTTCTGAGGGCCTCACATAGCCTGGGCTCCTATTTTGAGCAGGGCCTTGACTTGAGCGAGTAGGACGTTTGTGGTCCATGTGACTTGTGGACAGCTAAGCCCACAGAGGTTCAGAGAAGGGGTGGAGTGATTCCTCCCTGTGGCTGAGCCAGCTGTCTGAGGTAATGGCCCTACTGTGGAGGAGACAGGGGAGCACACAGGCAATGGTCACCATTGAGGATGTGTGATTGGTGGAATGTAGTTCAGACGGGGCTTAGTTTAGGCCTTAATCTTTCACTGAGTCATAATTTAGCATTCCCAGTCTGTGTTGATCTTAACAGAAATGAGTAAGCAATATAAAGCTAGTCCTGAAGTCTGTGCTATTGTTTTTAATTTTTTAAATCTTTTATTTATTTATTTGGTACAGGATCTCACTGTACAGCTCAGACTTACAGTGATCCTCCTGTCTCAGCCTCCCCCACGCTGAGATTACAGAGTTGCACCACCGCACCCAGTTTCGTTGGCCAGCACAGTGTGCAGTACTGGGAATCAAGCCCCGGGTTCTTGTGCTTGCCAGGCAGGAGCTTAGACCGCCAAGCTATCTCCCCAGCCTGGTCTGTGCTATTTATAAGGTTACCTGGAATCTTGTAGGCCATCCTAATGGACTTTGAATTTTTCCTTCTGGGTAAAATGGGACTCTTATGGGGTTAGAGAAAGGGAGAGAGGATTGCCTAGCAGGGACTCAGGTTAGGATGACACAGACAAAGATGATAGATCCAGGTTGGCGAACTCTGTGTTAGAAAGGTGGGTCAGTAGGACATCCTACATGTGGCAAGTGAGGATGAGTGTCTTAGTTAGTTCCTCTGTGCTAAGACACAATACCTTAAACCCACAGCTCTTAAAAAGGAAAAGTTTGTTTTAGCTCACAGTTTGTAGGTTTCAGCTGATAGCTGATTCCAAGGCAGAACTTCATACCGGGGGGAAGAGCTTATGGCAGGGCAGTTAGAATTCAGAGCAAGATCAAGGGAGGAAGAGGACATAGACCATTCCAGGCCATACCCCAGTGTCTCATCCTCCACCAGCTGTCACCTCCCAACACCACGTTTAGCTTAGTTCCCCACCTGCACGATCCAGTCACCTCCTCAAAGCCCCCCACTGAGCACAGGAGGCTGTGAGTCACATGACCCACAAAGGTGAAGGAGGGCAACGTCTGAAGTCACTGGGGGGCCGGGTGTCATGTGGAGTAGGGGAAGCAGGAAATTGAAATGAGGGAAGGTGTGGCCCCAAGAAGCTGATTGCTGACAGCAGTTCACTCTTTTGAGTTGTCTATAATTCTTTTTTTTTTTTTAATTTTTTTTT